CGTTTCGATACCTTGGGGGTCCTCTAGCTGCAGTACAGCCACGAAATCACTGGGTTCATCTGACCATATGTTATTGTTTGAATCCCTTTTCTGTTTCTCTGTAATAAGTTCCATCAAGTAATGACCTCTTTCGCTTCTATCCACGAGAATCAACTGCGATAAAGTAAAAAGAAAATGATTAACACAATTGAATTTCCCAGTCCGACACTTGTCTTTCCGGCCTTCTGCATGGTAGTATGTCTTGTGCTTATGTTTGTGATGTAATATCCACATTTATTTTTTCTAAGAGGGCACGGTAACGAATCCTGCAATCTGATTGGTTCTTAGTGCGGCCCGGATTTTCCTACGATGCTGTTGTGTGTGGAAAAGGTCAACAATTATAAAAGTGATTCGAGAGAGAGAGAGGAGAAAATAGATATGCTATTTTCCGGCCTAAGGTCAGTCTGCATAGTGAAAAACTTGACCTCGTATAGTGAAAAACTGCGGCCTCGGGTAGCATTTTCAAGACGTCGGTCACAGTCTTTCACTATATGGACCTCTTAGCTGGTAAATAACATACATGCAGACCATGTAGTATCCGGTTTCGGGGAAACGTTACAGTTCTTCTCTCTTTTTCTCCTTGCATGGAGGCCGGCCATAAGATCAGATAAAATCTCATTAGGAACAACGTGTCAATAATAAGCCGTAAGGTCGCTTTGCCTAAGACTAAAAGAACCTGTAGGAAAGTAGGCAAGAACAAAGTGAAATCTTACCTCATCTTTAACAAATGCAAGCAGCTCTTTGATAAGACTGGGATTTGTTTTAAAGTCAAACCGATAGTAACCATCAATCCACTCAGACAACAGGTCCAGAGCACGGTATCGGATCTGAAGCTGATGGTTATACACCTGACCAGAGGAGTCCGTTCTGACGAGATAAACACAAGTGTCATTTAATACCTCAAACCAATGCTGTATCAGGCGTAGCCGGATGAGAACATTTGCGACACGTGTTCAGCTTCACTGCACTTTTGCTGTGATTCGAAGATTTAAAGAGAAGATGGGGTTTGATTGGCTACTTGGTGCGATAAGGGGCTAACGCCTAACACTCAAAACATCATCTACTTTTACCTAAAATAGTTGTTAACTTATTCTAAGTTATGCGTATTGGTTTTAAACGTGTTAAAATTCGTGTTTCAATCACAAAGAGTTTTCCCTCTCTCAACCTCATCGTTCATTTTTAAAAAAGTCAATGTTCATAAAAATATAATCTTAGGTTGAAGCATAACCTTATTGTTCTTATAACCTTATTGTTCTCCGTCCTTACCTTAGAGAGGCTGAGCATTTTTCTCTGATGAAAGAGAACAGTTCTTGAGCAGTGGAAACGTAACGGAAAGTGTAAAGAAAGTATCGTACATAAGCCTGACTCATGGCGTGTCTGAAATAACAAAAATATATACAGTATCTCTGTTAGTACCAGGATCATTCGTAAAGCACAGCAAGAATAACGAATCAAACAGATTTTGTTTTATTCACCTGTCGAAGAGATAAGAGAACAAGCCAAGTTTGGTCCCTGATTGAAGGGAGGGGCCAGTTAGTGACTCATCTACGATATCTGTGCTTTCATTCACCCTCTGGTTCCATATCGGAGAAAAGTTTAAGAAGCTATTATTCAACTCCGGTACTAACGTCACACAGCTCTTGTTATAGCTACAAAGAGGGGAGAAATACACACACAAAATATCAGTGGTTTTCCTTCATGACAGATGGAATTGCTTGTGTATGTTAGAAGACATTAGAGGAACAATCTCTTTCAATTTACCTCACAAGAAATGAATACAGTAGCGATGTATCTACTCCAAAGCGCTCGGCGTACACACTCTAAAAAACAAAAATATAGCAACTAATTAAAATATTTGTATCGGAACCGAACATACTTTAGTTGAATAAAACTCTTGTAGCAAATTCATTACTGAACAGTTTTTATGTTTAGACCGTGCTGATTGTTTAGCCATTCTATGCCGTGCGTTAAATTTCCACACAGTAAAGTAAAGACAAAATTCATACTCACCCTCAATTGTCGTTGAACATTTTTTAAGTAAATAATTTTCTTATCACATTCCTCGATTTCGTTGACCAGTTTAGAGGCCAGGTCTTTCACATCTGTAAAAGACGATACACACCAGATCAATACCGCATTCCTATTTTGGGTTCTTCATAAGGATTTGGGTTTACTTAGTCACATCCCATGTCCGTTGTAGTTTATGGTCTTGTATCGTGATGTCCAAGTCAGACTTCAAGTGTACAAAGTTAGCTCAACACACCTTTCTTATTCTCCACATCCGCCATCTTGTTGTAGGAATTCATGCTCTTTTTCTTAGCTCTTCGCTCCAACATTAGCTGCTGAGAGATTTCCTGGAAAAAAATGATTGATTAAGCTCTCGCATGTGTTCTGGATTTCACGTGACATCTGTCCGAAAATACATTTTTAGCTGTAGTTAATACGACTTGCGGTGTAATGTGGTGTTCACGATGAGTAAAAATAGAGCGGTTTTCATTTGAGTATCGAGCAGTAATTGGTTTTACATCAACTAAGCTACACGATTGGCTTAAAAAACTCGCGCCACTTTTTCATCCAATCAGAAGTAAAATCAAAACTAATCGTGACTCACTCTCACGCGTTTTCCCGCGCTACATGTTATTCCTTCGAGTTTTGATTGGTTCACTGGATTGTCTTTGTCCTTTGCGATTGGCTAGAGTGATTACTTTAGTTTTGGTTTTTACGACACTCAATTGAAGACTGTGCTAGTGCAGTGATTTAATCTAAACTCATGAAACCGGTGTCAATGGCGGGATGTCTCCCGGGCCAAGTCACAAGTGCTTTTAGTTTTGCTCTTTATTTGCCGAGAAAGAAGATATCATCTTCGCTTTGACTCCATCACAAGCACACCATCTTTGTCCTGATTGGCTGAGAAGACACTATCTGCGCGCACATTGGTTTACGCGAGTCGTGCAAGCTTCCTGAATTGATTACTTTCCAAATACGAGCGTTAGCTCTGCTTACAAAGCTAGTATCTTACCATAATTTTAGTTCCCAGTTTTTCCGTCAGATCCTCCACGCTCGTTGCCAGTTTGACTCCCTGAGTGGGTAGAATGACAAAATGGTTAAAGGAGCTCAGTCACGGTATTTTGAGTTATTTTGGCGTACAAAATTACCGTTATATTGAAGAAAACCTGAAAATATTTACCACGATAGAAAAAACACTAAAGAGATAACAATAAACCATAAAGGAACAAGGATGGTTAAGTAAGGATGGAGAAGATTAACACGGATTACAAACGACGAACTGGACAAATCTAGGCTACGCTTTTCAAGATGCGCAGCTCCTTTAATGGTTAGGTCATAAGCATCTGGACAAGAATATTCCACAATATGTCCAGCAAACTGTCTATATATTCATTGAACGTCATTATTAACATCATACAAAAGAGCCAGGGCGCATGGCAATATGATGGTAGTTTTTTATCCAGCTCACCAATTCTTCAAATACATAAAGAAATTAAATTTATGAGGAAAATCTAAAATATTTTTAATTTCTGTGTTAGCCTAAATTCCAACAAGTTAGCCCCACGGCTATTAACAGTGTGGTTTCCTTGTAAAACATGTATCGTCATAGCGACAGGATAAAATCCGAGGATTTTGGAAAGCTCAGTGTTCTATTTATCAAGTAATCTAGTGCCTGGACTATCCAAGACTGGTTAAAAATATTACATTTGTGGATAGCTAAGTATTTCCAATACACCGTAAATATATATATCACTGCATCTTTTTGCTCACCATTACTCTGTGATAGTCGTCAAAAATAGGTGTTAACAATTCTTGGATGTCCGCTTGCATTTCAGGAGCAATAATTTTGATGGGCAGAAACTCGGTAGCTTCTCCTAGCGGAGACATGAGAATGTCCTTCGCCCCAGTCCCGCTCCTCTCACTGCTGCTTCTGGAGATGGAGTTAAAATACAAAGGCTCCAGACTGAGGTGGGATTCCTCGCGAGACAGGTTGATAGACTCCGGAGGGTTGATGTCACTGACAGTGCTCTCAGAGAATTGCAAGGTTGGCCTGTTAAAAAAAGAAAACAATTCTACTGTCACGTACACTCTATACACTGTAACATGGCTAACAAAGCCCCCAAAAAAGGTTTCAAGTAAAATGTTGTGAACTTTAATTTCATGAGACGATAAACTTAACGAACTGTTTTTGTTATCACGTGAGTTCATAACCCAACGTTAATACCAACAGTGTTGAGTTTTACCTTAACAAAGACTTGGTGCTCGCAAACAGTTATTTATATACGGTATTTTCAGTTGTCATTTGTGAACGATTCTCAAAACGAAAGGCAATTTTGATGAAAAATATTGCTGAAACTTTGGATAAGAGGACTTTTGTAAACTACTTAGTAAAACTGTACTTTCAAGACCTAGAAATACTATAAAGACCGTACTATTGACTACGCGTTACATGAGAGAAGAAGAAGTTCCATTCTCAAAGACTGTGGCATTCATACATGTGTGTAACTGAATGAAGGAAAAAATATCGAAATCTTGTAAGTGGCCTCAAGAAGTTGAGTTTGATGTGACAAACCTTCTACTCTGTTCTCCGCCTGTGACAGCTTCGTACATATCATGAAGAAGGTCCTCGTCCCAATACAAATCATTGTACTGATCGGTAATGGCCTCTTTGAAGTTTTCCTCGCTCATTCCGGCCAAAGACAGCACATACTCAGCTATAAATACAGTGAAACGGATGTTGCTTAGAGATAACAAGATTTTGTTAAAGTTACCCGGACCACCGTGTTATATGGTAGTCAAGTCTATATTGCTTGGTACATAACTTGTCGTATTACCTTCGACTGTCGTTCCCATTTCTTTCATGCACATACATGAAGTAACGATGAAATAAACTCTTTGGCAATATTAACGACGATATTTATCGATCAGGTTGTTATTCAAACAACAGATTCACTTATGAAGGACAGAGAAAAGTAAAACTATTCCTGAGTATTTGAAAACGTGGTTTAAAACGTGCCAGGGTTGTAAACCACCACAGGAAACTGCTGAAACACTCGACAACGCGAGAGACCATGCAATAAGTTGTTTTGACACCGTGTTTGAGTAACAAATAAATCCAGCAAATGATGGGTTATGTGCGTCAGACGCTGAGTCTCCTTTGTATTGTTAAATGGATTTCTGATTCAACAAATCTCTTGGGACGAGCCTCGGCAACAAAATAATATGCAAATTTTCCACGCTTGTTTTGCTGTTTTCGATCATAAAATTGCCTAAATTCATCAATAATTTTTGAACCAATAAATTGTCAGTGACGTTTAACATGAAAAATTGAATTAATTCTACCGCCCTATCATTATCCATCGAAACAACACCTAAAATATGCCCTTGACAAAATAACCAGCTCGTGCCAGATGATTCTTGACATTGTACCTTTCAAGAAGTTTACAAATCTCCATGTTAGACCCTATTTTTGAGCATCCCTGCCTTCCTTCTTCGACGACACCTTCTCCAGTCTAACATTAACAAGTATGGTGCTCTTTGTTACAGAAAGTTCTCGACAAACAGCTTTCAAAATGGTTCTTTTTTGGTACGTGCCCGCATCTTAATGAAGTCAGCTGTTTTTGTTAGAGTGGTAGCCAATTTGCTGCTAATTGGCTGTTTAATTGTACACGAGCTCACAAAGGGTCGGTCAGGAAGGTCTTAATTAAAACACATATTGTGTTTCGGATTTGTAAGTGCACAAAACTGGTGGACAGGAAAACTTAAGTAACTTAATTAGCCAACCCACCAGTGCCTTCGTACACCTTATTAACTTAAAGCACGTAATCACACAGAAACTGCAGAGTAAAGCAACGACTTGTAAAATGAATAACTTCTCATATATTAGTATTGATAATGGCTCCTATCTAAGTGATTGAGAAGTTGATGACGTAGGTAGAGCAAATGACAAAGATTGTCACAATGAATTGGACCACAAAACAAAAGCAATATTTGAACGGCTACAAACAAACATTGAGGAAGACGTTCGCAATATTGTTTTCTGTGTTTTTAGTTCAATCTTTGACAACTTCAACAGCGTTTTAAAAGGTGCAGGAATCGTAATTCGATTCAAATAAATTGGCAATTTTTGTCGTTTGGAGAGACCCTAGAAAAAAATCAGGTTTCAACTTTAATTCAGCTGAAGTTGGCCATCGATGTGGCTTTACTTGAAAATGCAAAGGAGAGTCAGCTGCCTCTTAATCTAATTACTTTATTACTTGATTTCTATAACGATGACCCTTTTAACCCCGCACAATTACTAAAAACAGAAATATAAATTTTTTCCGGATATCGGGAAAAAACATATTATTCAACGAAGCATTTTATCACGTGCAACACTTCAGGGCTTTCGCGAAAAAGAGGATGAAACACCTTTTTTTGTTTAGAACGCTACCGCACGGTCAACCTTAGATGACATAACGTGCACCTATAAAAAAGGAACACGCATATTTCTTACCCATATTGACGTCTTCCACTCCATCATCCATGTAGCCATCAAATGCAAACTCGTCGTGTATCATGTCGATAATCTTGGAGAGAACACCCTTCTCCTCTGACGAAGACACACTGGAGGACAACACCTTTTGACGACACAGTAAAAGACAGTGAATCTATCGTTAGGTGTTTGTTATTTTCTAGCCGCTAGAGTTATACAGAGGACGTTTGACCCTATTTTCTATTTAGCAAATAAATTCCATGTTGCCTTGCGTCTGTCCAGTATTATCACAGAGGACGTCGAAATGTGGTATGTTCTTACAACATTTTGAAGTCTCCCTACTGTGATCTATTACTGAACAGACGCAAGGCAACATGGAATCTATCTGTTTTATGTAATAAAGAACCAAAAAAATGTTAATGACGTCATCTATACGAATGTCCTCCAACAGAGAGAGCATGAGAAAGAACCAATCAAAATACGAGACTAATTCGACTTATTATATAAATGTCTAAATACAGGGACTAGGAATATATTGACAATCCAGCTGCATGACCATGTTGTGTGGGTTTTCATTTCTGAGTTGGTCCTTAGTTCCTAAGAACGGATTTGGCATGAAAATAAGATAGTGTCAGAAAACCTATAAGGTTCCACGAATGATCAAGAAGCATCATCTCTTTGCGAGTAACGTATTTTTCCCAAAGACCCGACACGACAACCGTGGCCAAGCTTGGTCTCCATGGCCGAATCTAAAATTATAGACCTGCTCAAATGGTGAAGACAGAATTACACAAGGACTCTGCACTAGACTAGGTCGAGTATAACAAGTGTGGCTATAAGTCTAAGCTCAGTTTTTACACCACAGCTTTGGCTTAAATCCTCATAAACTTTGTTTTACGTACTAACTGTAATGTCATTGTGCCTTGCACTTCAAAGTTGAAAAGGATAAAAATTGCCTCACTTACCTCGGGCGAAGAACTCTCATCCTTTGAAGCATTACTGGGAGAGATAGTTGTTTCAATATCGACCACAGGAAACGATCGAGGGCTAACAGCAGAAGCAACGTCTTCTTGATTTCGCACAGTAGTGCTTTCTTTTGAATCTAAAAGTTCTTGCTCCTTTTTCTTTGAAGCTTTATCAGAATCTGACAGTCTTGGTTTATGGTTTGAGCTACTGCCTGTTGGAGTTTGCCCCTGGCGACTTATTTTTTCCTTTTCTACCGCTTCTATCGTCTCATCTGGCAAGAAAAACATTTTTCCTTGTGGGCGCTTTCCCTTGACACCTTCCTTTGCCGCTGGAATCGCTGATTCAGCAAACGAGGCCTTTGGAGAAGAACCTTGCTTAACTGCGGCTGAATTTAACACCTTCTTAACTAGTTGGCCTAGGAGCTCCTTAGAATCGACTTTTGACGAGGAAGGAGGGCTTTTGCTGGAAGTTCTGCCTGAAATGTCGGGAGGTGGCGTAGAAGCAGCAACAAACTCTTTGGGAGTTGACTTCCCGGTATGAGCGAGCGCCGCTAACTTCACGGCTGAAGGTACTTCTCTAGATTTTTCCGAATGACTGTTAGAGCATTCACTGGAGTCCACAGAGCGCTTATCCGTCATTTTGGACACGTCGCCTTTAAGATTCTTGAACTTATCGCTATCACTTGGTGCCATTTTGGTCGGGGATCTGTCAGATTTTGCCGATGAGGTCTGAAAGGGATTTGAAGCATCCTCGGGTTGAACACTTCTAGATAGAACAGCCACATTTGCTGGATCTTTCAGTGCAACACTTGACCCTTTTTCTGACGAGGGAACGGGATTTTGTTGCTCTATCGGATCATAGAAAATACTGGTACCTGTCAGAAACTTTGGAGATGTTGGCGAGGGCGAATGCAACGGAGAGGTAGGAGGAGATTTCAGTCGATTACCCTTACTCTCCTTTCCGCTACGTTTTTGAGTCTCGTCAGGATCTGACATGTTTAATCCACTATCGGAGGAGGAGCTACTCGGAAATCGCTTGTTAGTTTTCCCTGATGTCGCTCTACGTTTAGACAAAGTTTCCTCAGAGGAGGGAACGTAGAATACATCTGAATCTCTAGGAGTATCCACAGAACTCAAGTTTTCTGAGAATTGATCTTCAGTAGGTAAAACAGAGAACAAAGACGATTTGGAGACTCTCTCTGAAGGGTTGGCCGGACCACTTCTCTCTTCGCTGCTTTGACCTCGCTGCCGTGTCTCTGGGTTATGCTGACCTCCTCTTAATTCCTTCTGCTCCAGTTTTGGATCTCGTGCATTAGGTGACCCACTTGGGTTGCCAGGATAGGTAGCCCCGGCTGCCCCAAAGAACTCAATGTGCCCTTTTGGTGACTTCGGGTAGAGGGGAGAGGTGGGATTGCTGGCTGCTTTGGGAGGAGGTTTGATAGTAGCGCTACCTTTGGCAGGGGTGCTTCCCCTTCGAGTGTAAGGGTACCTTAAAGGACTTGATGCTGACGAAGAGGATGTGCTGCTTGTGGTTTTATTGCCCTGATAATGCGGATTGGAAGAGTAAAGGTTCCTTTCTCTTGAGCATTCTTTGGCCCCGTGTCTCTCTATTGATAGATGGGGGTTTCCAGGGTTTGTATTTGCATTAGAACTTGTTACGTCGTTTCCCTTCGCATGAGGATTACTCGTAGAAACAGCTTTGGAATGTGGATCATTTTTACCGACATTTCCGTTGTCCTTCCTTCGATGTAAAACAGATCCTTCCCCCAGGAAACTCCTGGAAAAGTCTGACGCTGTTTGATGTACCGATAAACTGTCCTGTGAAGAGCTTTTGTGGACTTGTTTTGGGCTACGTGATAAATTAGTTTGCGATGAACTTTTCGGCAGCGGACCGTTCCGCGGAAGGCTTGAAGAATCGCGGTTTCCTAAAAGATTGATGGGTTGTGAAGTAGGTAGTGAATTTCGTTTGGATCTCGAGGTTCTGGTTTCCGAAGTAGTTTGCTTCTGAGGCATAGGATTTGAGACAAGTTTTCTAAGTGACATTGGTGACGGAGGATTTCTGGACGGAGAAGCATTGTCTTTCAAAGAAGGACTGTCACCTGATGGATGCCTTGACCTCACAATTTGATCGGTTCTAGATTGCGTTCTTGGAGTCTGGGAATCCTCTGAAGTCAGTGGGGTAGTTGATGACCCTTGGGTCGTAGAAAGACCACACGAGCTTTTGACTGTCGAAGAACATCCTGGGCCAAGCCCAGGATTACTTTTAGTATCCATTTTAGTGTTTGGATTTCCAGTCAGAGTTGAACAATTTTTGCTGACATTGTCAGCAGTTTTAGCGTCCCTGCAGTTTAAACCTTCAAGTGTACCGTTAGCGGAGCTTGGAAGAGGGTCTTCGTTCTCAATATCACCCGTGCTGCGAAGGATTTTTCTCTCGAATCGCTTCACATAGTTATCCGATGCATTTCTCCTATTTGTGACCGTATCAGAGCTAGCACCTTCTATACTGTCACGAGAAGATCTCTTTGGAAGACAGTTTGTGTCTCGCTCAGGTTCCATTTCCCCGCATTTTAAAGTGACGTTTGTAAAGTAGTTTGATGGCTTAAAATCCTTCAGTGATCCTGGACTTAAAGGAAACGTAGGAAAAAGAATAGTTCCATCCACACCACCATATGGCAAACCAAATCCGCCCACAGAACTCACTGGACAAGAAACTGTCGGCCTTGTGGCTTCTAAAATTGCCAAATCCACGGGGATCTCAAACTTATGAGCGTTTGATGTCGGAGAACAGAGGAGGTCCTTAGGACTTTTGACATCGCAATATTGAATAGAAGGGTCTCTTTCTGGAAGAAAGCACAGATTCCTTGGTTTTGTTCGCGGCGAGCCTTTTTCTCGGACTGGTTCAGAATCAAGAGACGATTTTCTAGTAAGTTCGTTTGACGAGCCATCTTTGGTTTGCCAGGGTTTCGACAAATTTTCGGATGTGTGATTTGGCTTGATAAGGTAATCATTTCTTAGATCAGTACTTGATGAACCTCTCCCGGAAGGAGTGGAAGAGACATTGCCAGATGGGCTTCTTTCTTTCGTTGTCTTTGAACTATATTTCTCATCCACCTTATTCTTTTTAGTCGGATAATCGTTAGTCAAAGAGAGCCCAGATACTAAACGCTCTTGGACGTTCTTCCCAAGAACATTTGATGGGCTACTGTCTCTCATGATATTCTCTTGAGACGTCCATCTCCTTATGTTCTCTAACAGCCTTGTTCTGGGCTCGTGACATTTATCAACAGTGGATTCATTCTCTATGTCAAGGCTTCCTTGGGAGGATGACAGGCGATTCCGACCTTCGACAGAAAGCATGGTTTGTCTGCCGTCAGTCGAACCTGAATCTGATCCACTGCGTTGAACTTCGCGGGGATCAGCGGAACTGCTGACTGATGACCGCCCACTGTCGTCTGATGACTCACTTGTCCTAGTTCTATCGCGAGACGAGGTAGGAATACCAGGCCTCGAAGTTGACAGTTCATGATCTGACGCGGGATGTGCTCCGTCACGCTTCGACGACGGACGAAGAGGACCAGTCTTAGAAGCTGGCTGGGGAGCTGAGGCAGAAAGATTGGGCTTAAATTGTCCCTTAACAATGCGATCTTCAGGTACCAGAGACGAAGAACCAAACTTTGATATCATGGACGTCACGGAGTTAGAACGAGCCCTTGGAGAGTTGTCTACAGACTCTTGAGACATTTGCTCGAACTTCGAAACAAGCATGGAAACGGGACTATCGGATCGTGATCCTGCGGGGCTGGATGGTCTACTATGGGTCCTGGGTCTTTGCACAGGATTGTCTGGTCTCGATCCTGACGGAGACGAGATTGATCTTCTCAGCCCATCCTGTGAGGTAGATGGGCTCGGGGGACGCCAGTTTGGGAAGGAACCCGTTGATACTCGTGTAAGGGGTTTATCATCAGATGACAAGTTCAATCCCTCTCTTCTCCAGTAAACGGGAGGCGTTTGGGAGCGAGGAGGAGTCGCCTCTCTGGGAGACGCTCGTCTTCCCAAGGAAGGAGAAGGAGTTTTCGCACGAACTAGTTTGATCTCTTCGCTAAGTTCGTTGGATTCACTAGTTATCGGTACCCTTCGTCGAGCAACATTGGAATTTGCTTCTGATTCAACTGGAGTTGATCTGCTCTTCGCAATTGGTGTTTGCCAAATGGGACGAGGAAGCTTGGACCCCTTGCTGTTCTCTTGGGCAGTGGAAAGCCTCGTTTGTTGTTTTGTGTCTGATTTTGAACTTTCCGATTTATCAAACCTTGGTATTGTACTGCTTGTTTTCTTTGGTCTAGGTACCATATCAGAGGCCTCACTCAGATCGTTATCTGTTGACACAACTGACTGATTCAATGTCACGGACGCATCATTAGAAACATATGGCATAGGGGACATGGCTTGTTGAGGATAAGGCATTATTCCTCCCTGGGGCATGTACCAGAATGGGGACATCGGTAAAGGGGCTACACTGGGCATAGCAACGGCGATAGGCACAAATGTGGCATTAGGGACGGAAGGCATTTGGTTGTCGCTTACATCAGAATGCACGCTTGGAGAGGCAGAACGCCCAGCTGGCGTTATGGGGCTGAACATCATCTGGGCTTCAGATTGGCCGTAGTGTGGATAGACATATAAGGATGGCGAAGGAGGCTTAATGGGTCGCTCCTCTGCTGGCTTTCTCGATTCCTCGCTTCCTTGATCGTTCTCACCGGCAGAGAAAGGGTTCTTGTTCAGCTTAGCTGATGCTAGAAGAGATAAAAGCTGTTCTTTTTGATCCTCAGTCAGGAAATAGCCCCGTTTGCGTTCCGTGGAAGTGTCTTGGTTGTTATTCGCATCATTTACAGTGTTAGACTTGTCATTTGTGGAATCAGATAACGGGATTTCCCTATCGCCTTTCGAACAAACGCTAGATGTGACTTTGTCCTTTTGCGAATCCTCTGCAAGAGTATTCTTCTCCACTTTTGCTTCTTCTGACTTGGGAATTACTTTGTTCGTTAGCAATTCTTTAGTGGGCTTCCAATCGACATTACTGGACGGTTCTTGCTTATTTTGAGCCTTGACGAAGGGATTCCGTTCTTCAGGCTTTGCCGTCTGGAAAAAATAAAAATAAAGAAATTAAATTTCTCACACCTTATGATAACAATAATACGCAACGATTTTATTTCCGTCCGTTTCGATACAACTGGCGAATTGGGTTCATTGTTGAAGAAATTAATTTTGCGCCCAAGAGCCGATTGCTTTCCGCAGCGTAGAGGGATTTTATGCTGAAGAAAAAGAAATTACCCGGCTTGGATTACAGAATTGTCAACACGGCAAGAACGAATGCCTGCTCCTGAAAGTTAACGGTTGCAAACAAAAGCAACGCGAATAGAAAAACTTGATGATTGCTTCGATGATTTATTGTTATGCTATCCGCTATTTATTTTCGCGCATGCTTGTCTATTAAACCTGTGGCTTTGAATTGAGACTGTAATCGCTAATACACCTCGAATCTTAGATGGCGTTAATTAAAGTATATTGTTGACTCTAAAATTCTGAAAAGAATTCGAAGAGTTCGGAATTTGCGAGTGAATCGTTTACAAAGCATCAAAATTCGTGCAAACCGGACCTTCACTGATCCTCGAAACAGGTGGTAAGATAGTGAAAGTTCTGAACGGAGAATCAGAGAATTTGAATAACCCGACCATAGCGGAGAAACATCTTTTACACATTCTTGTTAACTGAAGATGATCAAATAGATACGAGGTTTAACTTAAGTCAACAGGAGTCTTACCTTGAGGCGTTTACAATAGAAGGAAGTCATAAATTAAGAGACCCACATACGTAAAACATGAAAGCTTATTTAGGTTATGTGATGTCCACAGCAAATTCTCACTGTAGGATAGTATAGTTCAAAAAATATATATGAATAATGTTTCACCCGAAAATTAGAAACACCTGAGGAAACACCGNTTTTTTGAGAAAGCGACAACAAACAACAACAACATCAATCGGATTTTGGTTGTTGGTGTCCATAGATTCTGATTTTGTTGGTGTTACAGTATTAGGTAAGGAACTGAAAGACTAGACTCGTATTTATTTTTCAATTATAGAATTGAAGCTTCTAACAGAACACGATCAAACTTTACTTGGTGTTTATGTACTTTCTACAAATTAGCTGGAAAGAATCAGCGGCTTTTTAATCACGCAAACAAGCAAATCCTCTCCGCAGACCTCGGGGACACGACTAAGACCTAGCAATTTGAATTTGTCTCACGAGGGTTAAAAGGAGTAATTGAGTTTTTGCTACAAGAGGGAAGGAGTTTTTGCAAAAATCTGTGAGTGATAATAAAACATAACTTACTTGTTTAAGAAAGCCTTTGAATGAAGCCGCCACAGAGATCGACCCCATCAGAGTGTCGTGATGCTTCTTATCCTCTTCTGCTGTTTTTTTCTTTGTGGTCTATAGGAAACAAAATGAGAATCATATAAGTTATCTTAATCCCACAACCGATGCCTCTTTACTGCTCTTCAGCAAATTCTACCTGTTAAACCTCCCTTCAGCAGAACCTTTCTGTCAACAAAACACCTGCCTCGTTTTGCACTTACCTGGCGAATTTACTCTGACGTTAAGATTCAGCAAATGATTCATGACTTTAAAAACTAGCTGCGCTCTAAGATAATATTATTAAACGCTATGGTCTCGAATGTTCTGAATATTACGATATTAGAAAGATGAGTTGTTGGCTAGGTGATTGATAGGGTTGCTTTTGAAACTCTTTGGCATCTCAACAACAGCGAGGGCCATATTTACATTCAGCAAAATATTGCTTAAATGCCCGTGCATTTTCAAGCGTGATTATTGTGTTGAGCGGCCAATGCTGTGCTATTAAAAAACAGGCTTAAAGATTTTTAACTGCGTTTACAATTGTGTTCTCAATTAGCATAATAGACTCTTATGATTTTATTCCTCTGTTTCTGTCTTAGATTTAGTTTTGATTGAGAAGATATATCAAACACTCAAAAAGGTGTTTCATCGGGCCTGTTTCATCACATTTTCAACACTTCTTTTCCAAATATTTCCAAGCACCTCGAAGTTTGTCAAAACTACCCCTCCCTCTGAGCATGGGATTTCAACTGTCTTATTGGTGTTAAGAATTGTGATGAAACACAGTCTCTCCAGTCTAATATTCCGTCGGCAAGTGGTCAAACTGCGATATTTTAGATATTTTAGAGTGCTAAAATATCTATATACATATTTTTGGATTATCTAATCGACAAAATCAGCGGTTTTTGAAAAACAAAAGGATGCTGCTATCGTTGCAACCTCCGATGCTTAGAAATCCATGAAAACAATAGAAAACTATGCGGTCATAAGTCATTTTCGGCGACTTTGAACATGGAGCTTAAGCGATTTGCCGCCACGAAATCGCTGCTGTTTTGAGCATGCTTGAATCTGGGTGCGATTTGCAGACGATTTCTAGTTGGAGAGCAACGAAAAAACCTACCTTGGCGTCAGCTCCTAAGAGTGGTTTGTCGCAACATGGCGCACGGGACTAATACCTGACTTCAAAGAAGACTTTGGCATAGCGTTCGTCTGGGATCTCCCTCGAGATATTTAAGCAGTTGATCACGTGTTATATCTGCTTCCCTCCCCGTGGAATTGAAATTCACGCCTTAATCCTTAATTTTTTTTTTTTGGCGGCAACAAAGAAAACAAATACCGATACAAAACGCATTGCAGCTTTTTTCTTCGTCTTTCCCACGATACATTTTTGTTTGCCACAAAGTAGCAAAGCTAGATATATGGAACTTACGTACACTTCACGCTAACCGCTGCGAAAGGCCCCAATTCATACTGAAAGTTGCCAGGAAATCGCTACTACTTTGCGCGTCTGGACTGATAGCTGTATGAATTGCCTGAAAAGCCGCCTGACAAAAACCCCCACGTAAACAGGTCCTCATGTTGTGGTAAGATATAAATAGGAGGTTGCAATCCAATTTGTTTTCATGATTCTTGCCCCATAGCAAACAAGAGTTTAATTCAAACTGACGTTTGTAAATAGTTTGGCAGTAATACACAGATTGGGTTTCTATAATAGCAGCTTCTCCGACGAATTTGATAGAAAAAAAACTTTAAGTCGACCCGTGAAGTTACATAGCTGCACGCTTTCGGTGACTTGAGTGATTGATTAATCTTTTGCTAAAGCAAACCGCAGCCAAACGAATTTCCCGTTCCCCCAGGCTTTTTTGTTAAAGGCTTGCCGTTACTGTAAATGTGCAATGTAAATTTAAAAAATGAACATAGATTAAAAGTCACACAGGAGTAACAAGGGAAAAAAATAAAGTGAGTTCTTAACATTCCTTCTAGTTAGCATCTTAAGTACATCATTATGATAGGATATCACTCATGCGACGCAAATAATTGTTTTGGAAGCAATTAAAGTGTTGATACCACGGTAAATGATTATTTGATTTCTGCCCAATCGTCTCCAACAGAGTCATGTAAAAGCCTACTTGTATGGATATCTGTTTTCATAAATAGCTCACAGTACATTTAAATTGTTACATAAAGGGAATAATACCCTTTTTAACACCTGTGGAGTATTTAATTCTCCCCTGAAACCAATCCTAATTTTTAGTGTCTATTAGAGCCAAAGAAACAAACAAAAGATTTAGAAAGCAATCTGAAAATGTATTTAGTACTCAATGATTTGAAAATCACTGCAGTTGTGTGAGTTGCCGTACTTTGCAAATTCCCTAAATTGACTGATTCGAAACAGTTCCGAGTTTTCAAAACATTTCAACTGAGCAAATCTCTGGAATGAGGTGCTGCTGACATTGGCACTGGCCATTACGGCTGACTTCGAGGATTGAGAATGACAGGTAGAGAAATGCGTTTTAACTTACCAATTTCAGTCGGTCGCGCATCTTATTTTGGACAAGGCAACAATAATCTTTAGTCCTCTGCGACGTGACGATAGGTGCGACGAATTTTGATTGTGTCATCGCACGCGTGCAATACCGAAGTTACAGACTTGTATACTGGTCGCGTGATTGCGAGTTGATAAGCCGACGGCGGAGCAATGTGCCTGATTATCATATTAACTGTTAATTACCACTCGAGAAACACAAATATTTACATTTTAGAGAAGTCAGCTATGAAAGAAAACCTATAATTCTTAATCACCGACCAGCAGAGAATGTCACGTCAAAGAGGCCTGTTTGCTTTCAATAGACTGTGAAAAAGTTCACAGCTTTCCTTCAAATAGCTGCGTGTACAACATTGTTTCACCGTCAATTACGTAACATTAGGCTGTATGTTAACTCCTTACTTCTTAACAAAAGCGAACTCACGATGAGAAAACACGAAGCCGTTTTGCATTTGAAAGAATGTAGACCGCTTTCGATGAGTAAACACGGGCGACTCAAAATGCCTCGAGGGTAATAAAACCAAGGAAATTGAGTTTTAATCTCTTTTGAAAAAGAACCGACATCGGAAAAACAAAGGAGGGAAGTGACTTGAAGAAAGAATTTGGACATATAGTTTAAAAATGTAATTGCTACGTGATTGAAACAACCCAAATTACACGCTCAAGTTGCTTTTACTGCGTAACTTCCAAACATGCCTAGAAATAACATGTCCAAGATGTTAAGTTTCCCTTAATATCAAGTTCTACCCGAAAGCATTCAGCCAAATGAACTTTTTCTAGCCTTGAATTCCAATGAATTAATTGGTTTCGGGTCAGTTCTATTCAACTGGTTTCAGCAGTTTTTATAAAGGTCAACGTATTTTCAACTGATTGGTTCCACGAGTGGTTTATCTGAACAACTAGGAAAATAAGTAATGCCTCTTATTAATTCACATGAAGATCAGTTGAATATTCTTGTTTTTGAGTACGGCTTAGGAACAATTCTGTGTTTGGAATTAAAGAATGTTAGGCATATAGTGTAAGGCCTTTCAGCCCCGAGCTAAAAACTTCAATTCTCTTAACCAAGCCCCATACATTTCTTTAATGTCATTTCTGAGAGTTTAGTGATTCATCAAAGCAATACGTTTTTGGGTGAATTACCGGCTTATCGCACTTTTTGAAACGGCTTCGGAAACATACCAGGCTCGCTTCGTCTCGCCATGGCTATGTTGGCTAGAAAGCGTCTCCAGAAAGTAAGAACCGTGACTTGACCAAAGGAAAATGATATGCCTTCGAAGCGTAATAAAGAGACACGCTAGCTGCATGGCTAGTATGACCGCATTACACGGGTTACTCACGTCATCCTTTTCTATGGCCTCGGAAGCCTGGTACTCCCATAGTAAAGCCTGGCATCTTTCTCGTGACGTCATATCACCTTCGTTCTGTAAGGATTCGCATGTCTTTGAAAAAGAAACTAAAATGTTGCGTTACAAAGGGCGGAGAAGAGCAATGTAAAAGTGCGACAGTGGGTAGTAACAACACTTGTTTTGTTTTCAAAAATAAATTTGTTACTGGACTTGTTGGGCAGCAAAAAAATGTCAGATTTTTACGAATTTCGTAATTTCTTGTTAAGCTAAGCACACGAGCAAGTTTGTAACTTCCTTGAAAAATTGTCTTCCTTTTTCACTATACGCCAGCTTTTGAATGAGAAGACTGAGAGCTTCAAGGACATTTGCCAAGGAGAAACCTGTCATATTTTTTGTTCCTCTTAGCAAAGAAACCTTGTCACATACCTTTGCTGTTCAAAGTGTTATACATGAAAAACAATTGAATATTATACACTTAATGACTGATCCAGAGGGAAATGGTCGATGTTTTCCGAGACGAAGTCGAGGGAAACATCGACATTCGAGGTCGTGTGCTTATACCGATGTTTCCCTCGACTTTTCGTCTCCGCGGGAAACATACATCAACCAATGGAGGCGCGGGTTAGAGTTAACTTGGTTCCAGTGATACAGCAAGAGAAGTTGACTAGGGTTTAACTTACTTGTAGCACATCATACAAGCCTGGCCTGGCATCCTGGGCATCCTCTGTCATAGATACCAGCAGCTCTTGGAGTCTGCGACTTAATGATGGTTTCTCTGCCTCTGTCAACCGCCAGTCAGCTGCTGACCACAGGGTGGCAGCCAGACTGAAAACACATGTCTGTGATAAAATGAAAAAGCAGTAAGTTATCAAGGCAACGGGAAAAGAAAACATAGGACAAACTCTGGTGACCAGGCTCCCAAAATTGTCAGGAGTGACTATAAGTACACGACCTGTACCTACGGGTTTGTACACAGTCATCTCTTGAAGATAAAATTACAACACTTGCGTGGTCATGCGAAAGAGGCTCCTTCCCATGATCCTCCGAGTGTTAAAATTTTTCTCTGAGAGGCAGAGTGAACAATACCAGTCCCTCCTAAGTAGCATATATTTGTTTCGATACGTAAAATGCTTCGATTTTGAGCGCCAGGAAGTTTTGAGGCTGGTTGATCGAAACGCCGTGCTATCCAGGTACAAGATAATAGACAACAAATGCTAAACATCATAAACGGTCAAGAGAGAAAATAAGGCCTTTAAGAGGGCCGATGATTAAATATTTCCTTTTATCCTCTCTTGACAAGACATATTGAGACAAGCTACAAGTAAGTTATTTTCCAATGAACAGTAGACACCTTGTAAGACGAGCAATTTGTAGCGACTCTTCTGCCACATTTTGCTATGTTTAACAAAGACCTCACAAAGGTTTGTAGAACAAGGAAAATGGCGAACAAACCGCCACCAATGCATTGCACACTGGCAGCCGCAGTGTAAGAGCGAAGGAGTTTGGGTCGCAGCTATTATCGTGGGGTTAGGTAAAATGACAGCCGGCCATGGTTCACACTGTGCGTCAATATAAATTTGTTTTGACTTCTGTATTGAAAGCGTCCGTATGAATTATAGACTTGATATTTTAGTAATGTTACACTCCAGCGGACACCAGAAATTACAGGATGAAAATAACAGTATATTGTACAACCAAAATTAAGAACAAAAGGTAGCAGATTTTCACACGCAATTCGCCCACAAAGAGAGCAATATCTTTTAAGAGGTCAATAAGTTAAAGTCATTTCAATTTACAAATTTCTAGAGAAAAACCAATTAGCTGCAAATTAATTCATTGACCGTTGTGATACGAACAAACAAAGCTGATGCTAAGAAAGGAACTTTCATGAATACCAAAAATGCCCGTGGAATTTACTGTGTCTAAGAGGTTTAGTGTATGAAGAGCAAAAGTTGGAATTACGAGGCTCTTGTTACGTTGCTTATGACCCCACAACACTTAAAGGCGGCAATAAAACCACTTTTGTGTTGAGTACTTCTGATTAACACTTTTGGAATACCTCAGGGAGTGTCTTGAGATTCCGTGATGAAGAAAGACGGCGGATGTGGTATAAGCCAAAACAAAAACAACTTGATAAGCGGAATAATTGCAGAAGGAAAAAAAACACTAACTTCGCTAACTCCGTCAAAAAAAAGAAAAGCAATAGTCGCTGTTTTGCTAACAAAGTGATCAAGGAAACGAGACAGTTAATGAAACAACGCACTCAAGTAAATTGTATTGAAAGTTCTCGACACTAAATACCAAAAAGTCTATTTCTATTAATATCGGTCATGAAAGTCACGCTTTCACTGATGTCAGTCTCAAAAATAATAGTTAGCGCAATTTACACCCAATCGAGAAAGAGAAAACAGAAGCTGTGTTATTTCCCTAAGGACATACAGGGTTATATTAGTATATTTTGAATAAGAGATAGTGCATAATTTGCGAATAAACAAGTAACTGATATCATGGCATACCAAACACACGACATAACCGAAAAATAAACTGCCCTGTCAAGTGGCTGAAAACTTAAGATTTCTCGGCCACTTTCTAAGCCAACGTTATGTTAACAACATCAACAGGATGGCAAAACATGACATAACGTTTACAAACGAATCGCCGGTTGTTCTTTTAATAGGGCAAGGATGCGCGTGTAAGAAAGTAAAGATTTCTGTTCACTTACCACACTAGCTTGTATTCCAAAGGTAAAGTTTCGTAGAAATGCGTCAAGAGATCTCAGAAGTTAGTAACATAACCTTAAAACTTCTAGAGCTCTTAAACGGACGCGCTGACTAGTCAAACAGACAAACAAATCAAGTGTAATAAATCATGTAAATTTGATGGTTTCGTTGTGCGAGTAAACATTCCCAAGGATATCCGAAGTCCAGTGTAAGAAATCTGTTCCTGATTGAACGTACTTCCAAACCTTTTCGTTCGCGTTTGCAACAGATATGAAGAAACGGTTTTCCCGTATGTTCGGCTGCTTCGAACTCTTGAATGTAAAATATTTTGAACTCACGCCCGCCGGACTTCTTTTATACTCGCAAATGCGTTCTATTGTTATGCCACACAGTGATGCCTTTTGATTACACAAAGAAAAGGAAACTAATGCGCGACCAGCTGGAACAAAAGAACGAGTACCTAAAGCAAAACAAAGATCTGTTTTCTTATGGTTACATTTCAAGACCACTCTGCCTTTTAATGGCTGAAAATGTTACCCAATCTTAAAAACCTGGCGTCTAGCATGTAAACCTCCTTGTGAGTCCCCGTTAAATACTTAATAACACAAGTAAGAGAATTACAAGTTAAAGTCGGTGATCAGTTGCCAAATTCTCATGACTTATGAGTATGATTTTATATTGATATCCTGAGGAGAAATCCGGTACTGATCAGGCTCAGGGCTAGCTTTTTTCACTTTATCGCGATCGCAGTATACTAGAGCTGGTCTCTGAGCTTAACTTTAAAGAAACGTCTTACACTATTTTCTTATGCCTTGTTAAGATTTTAAATAGCGCATAGCTGAAACTTAATGCAATAGTGAGTTACAAATACAGAGAGAAACGCTTCATAGCTTCATTTTCAATGACTTATATACCTGCGAATTTGCTTCCACAGCTAAAAGCACATCCATTCAAATTGTTGTCTGCTCTGTCTACTGCAACAAGCTTTTGCTCAAACCTCTACAACGCACAAAGCCATCAGTTTGTTTTATAGCTATGTCATGTAACAACTGAGCACCCATAGGCGTTGACTCTACACGTTGTGCGTTACTCCGCCACAAGTACCCGGCACTAATGAGCCATGAGTAAACATTCTTGAGAATTTCTCTAAACATACAAAGGCTTCTTGCGTCGACGGGATTACTTAATGGAAATCAATCCCCTATACTGTTCGTAGTTATACAACCAAAACTTAGTGCGTTAGGTAAGGAGCCACTACTGAATGATATTTTCTCTGACCACACAAAGTTTCGTGCGCCGATGACGTCACGCACTTGCACTTAATCGCCTCAGCTGCATGCAAGTTTCTGTATATACAGTGACGTCAGAACAGTAATTAAAAGCCATTATCAGACCGCGTAGTCAGTATTACGTTTATTGTACGAATAGATACAGCTTTAATTTAGCAATTATAGAACGATTGTCGTAATGAATTTTAAACGTTGCGCCCCTGGACATCAAAGGCAAGACTACTGTCAGGTTATTGAACAAAACACTGAGTATTTCACTTTCACTTCAACACTTGACAAAGTTGCCTGGGGTTTTATCTGTTTTTTAAAATCTACATACTGAGTTTTGTTTGACCCTGAAGCTGAAATACTCTAGCTTTGAAATTTCTGACACTTGGTTAAATTGTTCTGTTGGCTAAGAAAAGACGCCTCTCAGAGGATCTAACATCATCTGTAGCCGAGAGTTTGTGTGTAATTACATTTTGTAGGATTCGTAATTAAAACCCTTTCCGCATGACTCTGTTGGACACCTTCGTGTAGTTGTCGCTTTGTTTCACAGTTAGAAGAGAAACGTTCAGTGTGAAGTCTTATTCTGCTTGTTCATACACACCGCGTGGATGTGTGTGCTTTCTAGATTTGTATAATGTGCTATCCTACTTAAATATGCGTACACAAAATATAATATACAATAGGTGCTAATTCTCACGTGCCAATATGTTACACCGACATCCTTGGGGCCGGGAAAAAAGTGTGCACTTGAGAGACGCTATTTATGAAAGGTTGGGTCGGGAAATCAAATTGACTAAGAGTGCGTTTAGCGACAGGAATCTCAGTGTTCGACTGTACCCTTCAATTGCGACAAAGGACAGTCACTGAACAAGTGACAGATTTTGCCTTATTAAGCCAGCCACCACAATCAAACTTCATTACACGGCGACATGCCAGATCAGTCGCAGACAAACAGACGAAGCTGAAAACCTTACAAACGTTACCCTTTCAACCGTAACAGCGAGCAATATTTAAATACTCTAACTCCTCTTTAATATTTCTTTGCAAAGCTAAGGAAGACAGAAAAGGCCCCTCTGTATATCAACGGTGGGTGAGAGAGCTTCCTGTAACAATATTATTATTATTTAAGACACCATATTTAGCATTCAATTACTTGTTTAGGAACGTTTGAAACAATTTCAATGAAATCTCCGCAAAAACCTGGCAACTAATAGACGATGGGGTAGTGCGTTACCCAGGTGGGATCAAACTTAAAGGAAAATTTCCACGAATTTTGAATTACGAACCACAAGAACTGATACGGTATAACATGCACGCCTGTTCCAGATTATGACGATGTCTTAATCGATCGACACTGGTTCAATTTGCTAAAATACCGTCAGACACAAAAACTGCAAAGAGACACACTAAAGAAAAGAGTGATAAATGACTCATTAAGTGTACTTAATATGAGCATAACTCGTGACTTATTCTAATCGGGCTTACAGACTATTTGTTGTTAGTTACAGGTTCAAAACGTAAGCTTGCCAAAGGCTATTTTTCTGCAATAACTGTGAACATTCTCAATTACTTAGAGATTAGACGATTTATCATCAATAAGTAGTACAGTCATTACAACTGACAATACAACCCTTGTTCGCGGTTCTTAAGCCCTATGGGCCGGGTAGCTCTTTTAAATTTGTTATTTTGTGAAAAAATGTCACACGAATATGAAGAGCCTATCGCAGAACGTGACCGGATCAGTGTTCAGTTTCAATTAATAAACGACGCACAAAATTGTGAAGAGAATTATCACAAAACGTTTGGAAACAACGCAATGTACATTGACTAAGGAAATAAGTCATTGTCTTTGCCACTGTAGTCATTTATCAAAAGTAGGCATAAGTTTGTGTAGGGAATCGAAGTTATAAGTTGTTCAAACGTTAAGAAATATAACAAGGTCTTTAAGATGTCTGGAAACGCATGCAGTAACTTGACAAACTGCGCTTGAACGTTGTTAGAGAAAATGGATTAGTGAAGTCCAATTACCTCTTAGCTGTCTAGACATGTGGTTTATCAAAGCACGAAAGTTTCAGTGACTGACCTCCGCTTCGTTAATCATAAACCTCGCAAGACTGATTCATACTTTTCGTACGACATAAGTTTTGAAAACTGAATGCCACAGCTCTTTTGAGAGTATTCCGTGTGGAGCTGGGTGGAAAAACAGTGGGACTACAAGTTTGCAAAATACATGAGGTCTAAGAGTCGATGCAATAAATCCCATCTGCGCATTAGATAACTACATAGTACTGAGCACAATATCTTAGCAAGATGGAGATCTTTTCCACAAAAACCGCAGTTAAGTACACTGAGAAAAACTTCTTTTTCACTAACTAAAGCGAGAGCGAAAATTATACAACAACATCGAATGATGAGTTCAACTAGCAGCTTAACTGAAGCCAAGGAGAGCACTTCATACATAATACAACGACCGCGATTGAACGATGTGTGCTTTAAGCTTTACTTGCTGCAGCTTTCGACCCGATTCACTCAACTCAGAGGAAACGTATAAGGAACACAACATTACAGTTCTCCTTAAAATGAAAATGATTCGCTAGTAGTCCGTGAAAAAGACAAAGCACATACCTTGGTCCACGAGTTAATCACATGCGTTGTTTTCCTTTTTGCTGACGATCACAACGACCGTCGGATGAAAATCACGCTAAATTGACTTTGCGTTGATGCAAAGAAATGTCATTGTCCATATCACACATGATCTAACAACATAATCATCTACCAAATGGTGTTAGCCGTGTCGGACTTGATACGAATTATTCTTCAATCCCAGACGCCTGGGTTTCTCACTGGCTATTTTGCATGCGTTTCGAAGTTCCTGTGGCACTGGACAATACGATGGTTGCCACTGATGTGTCACAACAAACTCATAGGTGACCTCAACGAAATGATATGTCTTTCAGTTGCATTTGCCTCGAAGGCAATGTTAAACGTTTCAAATTTTTCAATATATGGTTTGTTAATGCATGATGAGTCGATAAATTTTGAAGCTTTCACTGCTACATCTTACACCATTTTTGTTGTCATGGAAGTTCTCTCGGTACACACAGTAAGGAGAAATTCTTATAACTCTACTTCCAAAATACAGAGAGCTCTTTATTATGCGGATATCGACACAATTGGGTCCATGTGACGCTTAAGTCAATACTGACAAACTACTATCTATCCACAACACAAACAGTTTGTCTTCAAGGACAGTTCCTGACTTTATACACAACTATTCCTCATATACAGCAATCTCCAGTTGGGTCTCTCTCTAAAGGATTTTGTTCGACTGTATTTACACAAAAACAGTTGAGAAGCCGAGAGTATCAGACCATGTAGCTATTACTGTCAAAGAGCATGTCTCAACAATTACTAAATTTTCTCACCTTCTCGGATGCAAACTTGTTAGAGTATTCTGGAGCCAGGAACAGGTCATCAATAGAAACTCCTACAAGACAAGTGTCAACATACAACAATTAACGGATTGATAAGCTCATGTCAGTTAACACGTCTTTGATGTCACAACCTTAAACAAGATTAAGAGTTTCAAAAACTTCTTTACATAGTCTAGTAAGTGATATCATAAAGCCTCTCACCAGACACGAAAACGCCGCAACCGTTGAAATAAAAATGTTGAATAGCCGATGGTTTTGATGTTAAATGGATATTAAATAAATATCACGTCTAGAGCTGCTTTCTATGAAAAACTGAAGACATTTTGAGCTTCACAAATTGCGGGCACCTCTCGGACGGAACCTGCGCAGAGTGTCTACGAAACGAGATTTGAGAAAGCACAATACATTAGGATTTGAAGAATACAAAAGCATTAGTTAGAATCAAAAGACAGCCTCTAGATACAAAATCTCGCCATTAATAACGTAACTACGTAACTAGAAGTTTTCTTGGCAGTGCTTGGGTGCAGTTCATTAGAATGAAGTCAGCTGAGAAGCCAGTCGTAAGAGAATCGTGAAGAAATCTTTGTCTGTGTTTGCAGCGAGCATAAGGATTGTACCTAATTACCAGCTCGCTAATGGAAGGACCGTCTTTATACATTCCTAATGTGCCCTCTTTGTGCACAGGGAAAGTTATTTTTAGCACACAATTCTTCAGCTAATCCCTCTTGCTAAACAAAAGACAGCCTTGATTTCAGGCACCGTTTAAAATAACCTAACTTATTTGAAGAGCTGCTAGCAATTTTGCAGAATGCTTACTCTGGAAAATGTTCTTACCATGGTAAAATGGCGTCAGAGGTCACAATTACCTTAAATGAACAGGCTAAAGGTGTAGATACTGTACATAAATAAAACATAAACATACTGACAACCTAATTAATATACAAAACAAGGGAAACCTCTTTCAAACGTTTATATCAACGGATGGCCAAACACGCCACTAAAAGCAGTATCAATGAATAATGGGTTAATCAAAACAAGCGTGTGTTGACTGGCTGTTGAACGTTAAGGTCAATACCCTCACTTCAAATCAAACAAACGTTCAACAGATCTAAGCTGATACACAGTTACTTCTGAAGCATGTGCTCTTCTCACACTCAACCCCTTTGAAAAGTAGCTCCACTTTCAAACAACGTGAAAAATACTTCTTGATTTTGCACCATCGAAATGAGCACGAACTATCAAACAACGCTTGAAAAGAGTCTTCGCCATTGTTTAGTACAACTTGAAAGTGACTGAGCAAAACAACTCAGGGGAAAACAGTAAAACCAATTTAGCTCAAACTAGAATGGACCTATTGTTGTGTAAATCTAAGATTCTATTTCAAACGCGATTGTAATGATTCGAACGCTAACGTGAGTAATGAGCTTAAGGTCATTCCCCAGTATTGCATTGCGCATCCCTACTGCGCATAATTTAACGCGTGCATAGCGCGCGCGCATTAAAAAATGGCGGCTTTTTCTTTACAGCTGGACCTCGCCATAGAGGTAAATCGTCATTTTCTCGCAAACGAGTATGGTGACCTAGCATTTTTTTCTGTTGTTTTGAATTGAGTATTAAATTTCTCTGTGTAAAATAAATATGGACCAATTCTCAGTGTAGAACAAAAAACAATCGTCGGAAACGTGAATTTGGCAAGCAATCGCGACTACAGTCATGGTGCTATTATAAGGATTTATTGGGTATAAACAAGGTGCATAGTGATTGATGCGACTTCAGCGAAAACAAGTGCTCATTGTTGATTCACGTAAAAGAATCTTAACTAATGATTCTTGCTGTTTATATTGGTCCTTGAACTAATTTCAGTTTTGATTTATGTTTTTATTATCTTTGTCCCAATGCGAGGAGGTTAGTTCTCGAATTCGAAGAGAGCCTTCTTCTTCTACACCGTCTCAACGAGTTTCGTAAAAAGGAGAGGTTGCATGGCAAGATCTTAGGCGAGGTTGCACAGCATATCAATCATGTCTGGTTGCTCATCTTTTATAGCTGTTCCATCACGGTAAGGAAAGCAAGTAACAGTCAAAAGAGCGTTAAACCCGACAAGTTGACAGAAGTCAAGCTCTCTTTCGTCCAGCTACATAATATTCCATCTGAACATCTTAAGATTCCGGTTTAAACCCGGTAAACAAACAGGGAACTTAACGCTTTCCAAAGGTCGCAAACTTAGTGCGTACAAACCTGTGCTGAGGTGCTTGAACTTGATGGTACCACTTGGGTTGATGATTACGGTTTCCAGGGACACGTAAGAAGCTGAAAAAAGAGACACGTAAGAAGCTGAAAAAAGAGACATTAATAACCTGAACTGCTTGGGTTGACCGTCGCTTTAGTAACGCGGGAGTCATGAGATCCCTTTGAAGCTCACAAATTTTTTTCCGAAGCCTCTTCATAATTTCTCAAATAATCATTTCTATCTTTCCTTCACGTCAACTATCCATCACTCTCTGTCAGCAATTCATAAATATTACATGCACTCAAGCCATTCACCAAATAAACATTATTCTATTCTCAGCCAAAAGAAACGAAGCCATCATTAATTGATTCGGCACCGATTACAGAACCATTACAGTACCATGTACATGTGGCTTCCAACTCTGATTGGCACGATAGGCTTCTTGTTATTAACCGGTTGTCTTATAATCACGGGAACCCCCCCCCCCTCCCCCTCCCCTCCCCCCATCCCTCTGAAAATTCCAGTTTTGGTTCATACTTTCTATCTACACTTACGCAAACTTCCCAGCGCATCCAGGGTCCGCAACGTCTTGGAACACTCTTTGCAAATGGCGACCAACTCTACTTCAGTCAAACAGGAAGAGAGGCCGTTCAACAGCTCTCGGATATTCACAGCCTATCACAAAACACGTCAAAAATCAACTTTATTCCGGCAATCCGGATTAACATTCTCTTTATATAATTTCTGTAATTTTCGGAGATTTTCTGATCATGCAAGTCCTTCATAGCTCCTGGTCTGCCTACTTGAATTTGTTATAGGAGGTAAAAAGAAAGTCGACTTTAAATCCCCGAATCGTAACATAACACGAGTAAAATTAAATATTTGCTCTCAGTTAGAATGTTTATGTCTTTCCCCGGCTTATCATTGGTATTCAGCCTTACGATACAAAATTGGGAGGGAATTGGGGAAAGGTATCAGTTCGTATAAGTCTAATTGGGCAATAACGAAAATACATACTGAACGGTTTATAAATACCTTTCTTAATAGACTTAGTTTTAGATATAAATTAGCAATGTAGATTTTTCAATTTCTTGTCTTCTTTAATGCAATTTTAATTTTAGCATTTTCAGTCAATTTTTTTTTATCGTAAGGGCCTATTAAGTATTCTAGCTAATTCTACTTTGTAAATTTTGATATGTATTTTTATCCAATGAATAAAGACATTATTACATTATTATTACCACTACGATCAATAATTTTAACGTACCTCCTGTCGTACCGGTGCACGAAGGACAGAACTTTCGACAACCGTTCTTATCCTCTCAAACTGTGCTGCAGACGCTGGTATACTGTTGCTACCACTAACGCTCTCTGTATAAATCTTCGATCTTCTTTTCGTCACACGAGGGACAATGCTTTGCTTTCTTCTGGGACCCATTTTTCTGTTCATCAGCTTTGCGAGAACATTTGTTCTCGACTGTTGGGATGGAGAGTCGGGTCTTAAGTCAAGAGCTGTTTTACCGGCATTAGCCATAGAAGAAATGTCCTCCACTCCATCATTCTCTACTTGTATTTTGGCAATACTGGGTGTAATATTGTTATTCGCGTCTACGTTAGGACTATTCTCGATGCTATTCGTCTTGCTTGTTGTTTCCATGACGCCCATCAATTCTTTCCCACTCACGTGGCTGTACTCACTACTTGTGACTGTACGTGGTTCCAAATTAATACCGTTTACTTCGCTGTCTGTTCCTTGCTTACCTCCATCTTTGGCAGTCAATGTACCTTCGATTGAAGCAACACGTTTATCAGATACTCGATGAACTGCAAATTGTTGAAGTGGAATACTTTCGACAGTTGTCCAGCATTTCGATTGGGTTAATTTATCGTCAGTGTTTGGATTTTGTTCACTCTTTTCGGAAGGTTTGGAAGAAGGATCTTGTGTTTTCTGCTTACTGTCACTTCCCTCGAGTTTCGCCTTCAAAGAAGCATACCTCTCGCTGAGTGCCGCAAACCTTTCCTCCGTGGGAAGGGAATCGTTTAGAGGCGGCTGTTTCGGAGATATTCCAAGTTTACGCACGATCCCTTTTCCACCTCCACCATGAACAGTCACTCTCGAACTCATTGTAATGGTCGAATTAGTCGTGGCTGACTTACTTGCCTCTGTTTTTTTGATCCTGGAATAATCATCAGCCTCCTCCTGGCTTAATGGAAGGAAACGCGAATTATCGAACCCCACACCACTTGAGTGTTGGTAATTCGGTTGATTTACCCTCCCTTCTGTTCTTCCAGATGTATCGTTTGGAATCACAAAGGTGATAGGAGGACGTTTAATCACGTTGACACTGCTCTTCCTTTGAGGAGGCGCAACGCTTCTCGCAGGAAGTGGAGCGCTGATTTTTCTCTGCGGAGACTGCACTCGAGGAACATCCATACTCTCGCTTGCAACCAGTTGCCTGGGCACGGGAAAATTAACGTCACCATCGGCTCTAATGTGAGACTTTTCCTTGGACTTGCTAAGTTCAGATGGACTTGAGTCTTTGGCTGTACCTTGCACTTGATGATTGAGAACCATACCAGGGCCATTTGAGTTGCGCATATCGTCCGATGGGCCACATCTCTTTGCACTATCTTTTGATTCGGTGTTAATGTTGTTACCGTTGACGCTATTGCTGTTGCTGTTGTCGTTGCCCTTGTTGTGTTTGTTTGACAAGGAATCCTTGATAGATGCTGCTGTGTTCAGGACGGATGATTTACGATCGTTTTCGGGGTTACTTTCATTTCCCCACTCTCCAGTGTCTAACGATTCTCTCAAGGAAAATTCCAAAGTTCCTGTGGGCGGCTTGGTAGAAGCAATGGAATTCCTCCGCTTCCGCTGCATGGCCTGGCTGTGGGTGATCACGTGTTGCTGAACGATAGCCAGCAGACCTTTGGGACGAGCTTCACTGGGTGACCCCTGAACATCTTTGGACTTTGGCACCTCTGGTCCAATGAGTGACCTCTTCTCTGATTGAGCGTCATCAGTGTCGCATTTAATGGTCAAAGCAGATGGCGACGGGCATCTTTTAGCTGAGTTTGGAGACAGCGTGTTGAGGACATTTCCAATGGAACCCCTTCTAGTTAGAGCCGGGCTTTTTAATATCCTCCTGCCATCTTTGTCCTTGCTTGGACAGTTGCATTTGCGCTCCTTTTCAGCTGCAGGTTTTAAAGACGTTTTGATGCCAACAACTTTGGATGTTGAGCTGCCAATTTGAGGAGAAAGCGTACGCAAAACGTCTCCAAGAGAACCCCTACGTTTTAGTAAATTGGGAAAATTCATTATTTTACCAAGAGCATTTTCGCTTTCCTTCTTAACCTGACTCTCAATTTTAACCTGTCTTTGGATACTTGGACTTTCATCACGTTCAATTTTACCTTTGTTGAAGTTCAAAGGAGAAAGTGGTCTCCATGGATCTTTTACGTGACCATTTGCGTGTGGCAATAGAAGTGCTGAACTGAATTTTCCATCGTTGCCAGGTGTTTCTTCTCGACCATGATCGGATTTCTTGTCGAATTGAGGCGACAGTGATAGCAGAACATCACTCAAAGACCCTCTCCTGGTTAGGCGAGGAGATACAAGAACCTTTCCAAGCATGCCTTCGTCGTTATCGGTATTCTTTGCGGAGGAACGGCGCGACCCTGGTTCTGACCCTACCTTGCAATCGCCATCTTCGGGTGATCCATTCAGATTTATTGATACACTTGCAATGCTGCTTGATCGACGAGATTCTACTACGGGATTCAGGGAGGTTATTCGTTCTAACACATCTGGGTCAATCACACTCCCTCGTCGAGATCGATGAGGGGCCATGGGTGTGTCAACTTTCCTGAGCATCTCAGACAGAGCTAACTCTTGGTCCCTTGTTTCTTTGGAGCTCTCCTGAGGGGAGGACGACCCAGTGGTCGCCGGAGAAACATCACCAGTATTGCAAGCATCGTCACCTGCATCAACTGTGTACGACAGAACGTATGTGGATACAGCCTCTATTAAATGCTCATTGTCCTCTGTGGAATTCTCGAAAGAGAAGCATCGCTTATAAAGTGGAGATTCGTCTACATTGCAATCACCGGAAGAAAAGGCTATCGTGCCATTTGCTTCGCTAGTGGATTCAACATTCTTAGTGCCTTCGTAGTACTCTTGCGTGGGTTCACAAGGCGGTTCGCTCGCAGCCCTCGACCTTAATTCTCTCTGTTTAAAGCTACCAGTTGAGCGTCGTCGCTCTTTATCCGTGTCTTCCTCTTCGGGTTTTTCCGGAATATCGTGAAGAGTGTGAAAGAAACGTACATCGGCAATGCTATGTCTCCTTCGTCTTGGCCGGGACTGTAGACTGGCGTTGTTTAGAAGGAACTTTTTCAGATCCATGTCTATGCCACAGTGGTTTACGATGCAATTAGAGATCTAGAACAGTGTGCAAAGATAATCTGCCAAATGGACGGATAAAATTGATTCACAAACTTTGTCACCGGGGGTGTACCATGAATTTGTCAAACTCTCTCTGAGAAAGTGAAATAATGCTATTACTTGCTGGGAAGTTTAGCTTAAAAAGCTTATTAGCCTTTGTAAATATGTTTTCACGCAGCAGACTATAAATTTGTTATACATAGTTTTACATTCAGTTTAGTTTCAAACTGTGATGTAACATGTGAAATAATACATCGATATAAGACAAAAAAGCTTGAAATGTAGATCACTTCTCATGAAACGCGCTATCAATGCATAATAGAATATACCTAATAGCGACGTGATTAACTCTTAAAACAGAAGTCAATTAAAGCGTACAGTAAGATTTGGCTCAAGCCCCGGAATTGACGTCAGAGGTTTCATACATCGTAATAAATGAGTTTGCTTATCATATTTGTTTGACAATTCATTCAGTGATCGACATAATTTCGTTTTCTTCGCTTGACCTTCACTATTCAGAAGCAGAGTCATCTATTACGATTCCGGAACTTTGACTGTATTTTCACTGACACGGCACGGAGCACTCCATGTGCGGTACGGAACGAAGAGTCAGTTTACTCACGTGCTCAAAGCAACATATTTGACTTCTTCACGCCAAGTCTTCAACAGTCATTTCCACCGTGAACCATCATTAACGATATTATTTTGGCACTCAAGGGTATAGTTCAATGCCTTCAGATGGCCAGCACAGTTAACGTTTTCAGGCATCTGTAGCAAACATTGCTTTGTTCTAGCTAAAGAGGGATATTAGGTACATCTTAAAATGTAATCTACTGTAATCCTATAGTCATTGTCCGTAATATCCAAATGGAGACAAAACATGGATTTAGAGTGATTTACTTCTGAATCTCATTATTTAAAGAGTTATGTCATCGCAAACACAATCACTTGTAAATAAATTGTTGTACTGAAATTTTTGGTTCATGAATTAATATTAATGAACTGTAAGCAAAATGGTAATGCAAATGGAGCGACGACAGCGGAATATGATTCTGCGAGTACTTTTACACTCAAAAAATCCAAAGATGTTGGAGGTAAGTTACAAAATGTGACACATTTTCAAAGCTGTTATTCCACTGGTATGTATTTATTTTCACTGATCACGAACAAAGCCAGTTCGTTTCTATTCATGCGTCGTTAGCATTCCTTTATAATGATTTTTGGTATTATCGGTACCTTGGGGAATTTAGCTGTATAAAGGATTTAACTTATGTTTAGAGCAGCCAAACGAAAAAAGCCTCTTCATTAAACTGTTCTCTCTGAAGTTTGAAAATCTTGGCCAATTCCCATATTTTACATAAACAACCTCATCCTTTGCGAGACTCTTCCTTGATGAAATGAAAGCTTGTCGCAATTAAAAGAGCATTATAAGTAATAATTTCTTTGTGCCGCGTAAATAATACACTGTGTATGGTCATGTAAGCGTTCTTTCTTTATACTGACAGGAAAACAAAGTACGTCCACATCTTAAAGTTTTGTGCTAACACATGAAAAAAGAACGAAGTTCGCCGCTCTACAGCATGTGAACGTCGTCAGACAAATCTGGCTCATACTTTGCCGAGTGGCAACAGAAAAGTAGTTTCTATACCAAGTATCGCCGCGGTACGTGACACATAATTAACATATATATGTTAACTATGATCAGAGGAATCGAAGGTGAACAACGAAGTTAAACTGTGTAGTTCAAATTAACAATTCGATTTCAATTTTTGATCAACAGTACACAGTCAATTTAAAACGAAGGAAGAAGATATAAACTGTGGGAGTCTTTGGCCCCTTGCTAACTGGAGGAAGCCCCTTGTTAGTCCTTTAGGCGTCTTGTTGCCATGTTGCCTTGAAATAAAGGTGTCATGTCCTTTGAACACCGCACGTACTGTAAAATAGATAGTGTTGGAATTATTGCGCCGATTTTAGTACAGAAATCAGTGACACTGGCTCAGTTTCCAGAGTCTCTCCGCGCTGAAAAATATCCACGTCGGTTGGCCTATCAAAACAGCCTTATTCCTTGCAAACTGTTGAATTTCATGGATAACACCGCACTAAGAAGGAACTCTATTAAAAGGTCCCGCTTCAAATGGAACCATGTAAAAAAAATATTTTGTTAAAAAAGATGTGGTCAAAAAAGCCTCTATTTCCGCAAAAAATATCAATATGGCATGACTTTTGTATAACTAGAATGAACATTAAAAAGGCTAGGCGAACAAACAAACTTATAGTTTGCAGTTGACGCGAAGCAGTGTTTTGAGAATAATCCGGCAAGGACTGCACTGTTTTAGCCAAAGGACAACAAAACATATTAAACCTAAACGAGTTCTAACACTGACACAATGGCTGTCCTGCATAGTAATAAAAGAACATCTACCCTAGAGGCCGAAACTAACAGAATCCTAAAAAACAAAAGTGACAACTTTTACTGCGTCGAGAAAACAGGAGGTGCTTTTGACAAATGGGCAGAGCTTACTCATAGTTAATGTGTTATCCCACTTCAAAACACAACAGAACGTGTTAATTGAAAACAAAAAAATTATGTTATCTAGAACAGAGAAAGCTGAAGAGCCAATCAAAATGGTCAGATATGGTAAAGTAAAACTGAAATATGTATGGTCGAGGGAGAGCTGGCGTGAAATAACAATTTCTTTACACGACTGACTTTACGAAAAATAAGTTACATCGTCAACGTGAACTTAGTTTTCTTCCGCACAATCAAGAGTGAAACTTCTGGCATAAAATCGTCTTTCATAAGAACATGCTTGTCATACGCTGTCGCGCGTGCTAAAGTAGCGGTGTTTAATCAGTGTTTTCCCACCAAGTTTGGCAGGGGCGAGTATCACCACCAATTTTATGGCAGGAGTTCTCGGCTGTGTTATATAATATTACACAAACACCTCCTAGTATACCGTATACTAGACACATTATCACATTGTACATATTAGGTAATAAAAAACAGAGGTCATAGTGGAAATCGCGCGAAACAGGAATGGCGAAAAAGTCGTCGCAAGATGTGGGTAAAACCTCAGTGTTCCCATTTTGCATTCCGACTAAAATCTCCTGAAAAACTGTCGCAACAATTGATCTAGCTTAGTCATTGTGAAGTTCCTAATTGATGTAACGATTAGTAATGTCTTAAGTCGGGTAATAATACGGCCGTATGATCGTGTTTTTCTGCAATACGTCTCACTTAAACACATACGTCTAGTATAAATCCCGTGTTATTGATCTTTTAACTCAACGAAACGGTATAAAAAGATTACTGTTAAAGTATAACTCGACTTGTAGTCAATAACTTACCTGAGCCTCGACTCGATCATCCTAAGTTTTCTTGCCGAAAAAAACCGTTAACTTCTCTCGAGGCGGTCATAGATGAAGCCACGTTACAAGAACTGGAGTTTTCTTTCGTGATTATTTTCACGCGAGCACGGCTTAAACTGTTCTAATATACAAGCTCTTAATTAGAACAGAACGTGCAATACACCTTTAGTCAAACTAATTGACCGGCTTCCGTGGACTCGAATGCCCTCTGGGAATTGATTATGTATGGTCATAGTGCCATCAAAACACTCAGTAAAGCATGGCTCCAGTGGGCAGCAAAAGACAACAAAAGGAAGTGCTTAGTTTAAACCGCCATATCAAGGATTGAGTCTTTTCCGCTGCTTAATACGCCCATATCTCTCAAACTTTGAGTAAGGAATAAAGGAATGGGTTTCTTGACGAGTTGTTCAAAGTTCATTGGCGATAGCGAAAGCAATTGGATGAATTGATTGGTAATGAATGGTATTCAATCAAGTTAATGATGTATTGTGTACGTGCGTTGACTAAGAAATTGCGAATTTTCATGATCAGTGAAGTCTTTGGCAGGTTTGCTTCACGACTCTTAGTACACTATCGCACGTCGATGAGACTGACTACCTTCTACTGGGCAGTTACAGTAAGAAATAAGGAAATTGTTATCGCAGTTGTGTTCACAATAGGAGATTGAAAACATTCAGCGCTTCAACGTGACTGATACAACGCTCTTAGTAGAGCTGGTTGAGCTTTGAAGGCGCCTACAACAGGAGCAGAATAACTGTGAGTTTAAACTTGCCAGTGCGCGATACGAGGAAAAGATATAATTAATAATAATGGTAGGTAAGTAAAGTCTGCATAAGAGCCAAGTGGCTCATCAGGCCGGAGCTTATCCCGGTTTCTGTAGCATGAAGCGACTAGGAGTATTTCTACTCC